CTGGTTGATTGCCCACCGCATTCTCTCTGTCGCCGTCGTCCGTCGCCGAAGGCGATTGAGCGGAAGGTGGCTGCGCGGGGTTGGGTTGCGCATCGCGCATCGAGGCTTCATCCCGCGGACAGTCACTCCGCTCCTCCGTCTGCTGCTCCCTCGATCGGTCCGTGGGGGCTGTGCCCGGCCCGTGCGCAGGCGCATTTGCCGGCGCCTTGTCCGCTGCAGGCGTAGCGCCGCGGACATCTATCGCCGAAGGCGACATGGCCGGGGGCCGCACGCCCGATGTTCCTTGGCCTATAGGCCCTACCGCCGAAGGCGCATCTATCGGCGTACTTCCCGCCGATGGTGCGGCCTCCGCACGCTCTCTGCTCGTGTCCCCTCGGCTCGAAGGCCCTGGCGCCGAAGGCGCGAATTGCGGCGCGTGGTGCGCCGGAGGGTCTGGCCCCGAGGGCCGGTGTCTCGTAGGCGGTTCTTCCGCCGGCTCCTTCCCCTTCCTACGTTGGAACGGGGGTGATTCTTGCCTGTGCACAGGCGGCACGTGTGGAGGTGTCCTGTTCACAGGCGACCTGTGCACAGGTGAGCGCCTGTGCACAGGCGGACTGCTCCTTCCCACGCGTAAGCGTAGATCCACGTCCACTTGTGTTCGCCGGTCCGCGGAGGCTCGTCCGTCCGCGGAGGTTCGCCTGTGCGCAAACGGAACCTCTGTCCGCATCGCACGTGGTAACTCCGGAGGCCCTTGGCCCGTAGGCGGCCTCTCTCCCGACGAGGTTGCAGCGTGGCCCGTCGCTCCTGCGGTCGTCCGCGCTTCTTCTCGCCTCTCTGGCGACGCACTTCCTATCTCCGTCGCAATCGTCGCCGTGTCTGCACTGTCAGCTGGTAACACCAGTCTGCGTGCCTTCTGCTTCGGCCGGCTGTATGGCTCGCACAGCGGCCGCGGTCGAATGGGAGCAGAGGGTTCTTGATGCTGCTCCTCTTCGGACTCTTCCCTCCATCGCCGCTTCCGCGGCACTCGCGCTGCAGGAGTGTGTCTCCCTTCATCCCTTCGTCTTGATGGGGTAGAAGTCGGTGACTCCTCCGCATCAGTGTCGACCTCGTTCTCCCGCACATACTTCCCGGGATGGTCGATGGACAATGGCGGAAAATGTTCAAGCTCCGCCGCTGTCAAACAATTCCGCTGTCGATAAAAATTGATGAGGAAAGGAGAAAGATGGTTTAGAGTTCCCCCCTTCTCCTCAAACGCGTGCTGTCGCATCACCCTGTGCAGGATGCTCGCCCAGTGAATTGGAGTTCCCTCGATGACGCACTCCACAAAAGAGACCTGCCACAATGTGATGTAGCAGGCGCGGTGCGGCTGCAGTAATTGCATCAGCGCCGCGGACAAAGTTCGGCGAAATCGATCCTTGTAATCACGGGTCCTGTACCCATTCTTGGTTGACCTCCCGGTCTTGAACAGCTCCACAAATTGCGCCTCTTCTTGCTTGGTCACCTTGATGCTCTCACTGTCGAAAAGGAGATGCCCGGGCATGCCAGCACATCTTCCCAACGCCTGCGCCCAATCTTGGACTGTCCACCGGTCAACATGCGGACGCAATCCGCGCGAGGGTGGTCCCTGTGGCTCTAGCCACTCGCGCACCATATTCGCGCAGATGTAATTCCATCCCCATAGCAAGAAATCGAGCTTTCTTGCTATTAAGCGCTCTTCGAAAGCGCGCAGCCCGTTCTGCGGCAGGCGAAGTGGCACCATCCGCAATCTGCTCGGTCTCGTCATTGCGTTCCTGGGGTTCGCTCGCCCGCTCATTCTACTTCCGCACTGTCCGCGTTTCTTTCTCTCTCGGCAAACTCTAATCGCTCTCAATTCCAAATCACGCACACTCGCTTCTCCCTCAATCAACAAGAAATCTCCTGTGCGACGACGACGAGAATGGTCCGCAGCCAGCAGATGGATGCGCGCAGCGCGCACAAGAGATTGGAATCGCGAATTCAAGAATGGGACGCTCTCCGCCGCCCGGTCGAAGGTCATGGTCGTCTCTTGGTCGTGAAGAACGTCTCACTTGATGGCCGCGCCGGCTGTACGCTGGAACGGTCTTCGCTCTCACGCGCGGCTTCACGCTCCGCCGTCGTCGATTAAACTCTCACGCTCGAATTGGCGGATTTGAACTCCGCGAGCGTGTCACCCTCCGGACATGGGGGCGTAGCGCCGAAGGCGAGTTTTCCGCCTTGCGCGGTACACTTGTTCGTACCGCCCCTCGGCCAATCTCCTTCTGCCTTGACGCGTGTGTCCGCATGTCGGACAAAAATTCAACTCCTGCCTGTGCGCAGGCAGGGGCCTCGGCGGATTCTCCGCCGGCGCGGAACTTGATCATCCTCCTGTGCACAGGCGTTCGCCTGTGCGCAGGCGAATTCCGTCCGCGGCGCTGCGCTGGCGCGGAAGGCGTTGACCGTGGTCAGCCGTCTCCGTCCAGTCTGTCCGTTCCTTGTCTCTCCGTCGGCGCTTCCGCCGCCGCAACTCCGTCCGTCCAAGAGCGCATCTACCCGTGCCGTCCGCACGGTCCGTACCTATTGGAGTACTCTGGCGGCTCCTCCGACGTACGCTGCGCTGCGCTGGCGCGGAAGGCGCCGTACACTTTCTACCTCACAAGGCGCATTTCTAGGGCCCAAGGCGGATTTTCCGCCGACGCCGAAGTGCCTGTGCACAGGCGAACGCCTGTGCGTAGGCGGACTTCGCGCCTTCCCTAACCCTACTTCGCCTGTGCACAGGCGAACGCCTTCGTCCGTGCATAGGACAAAACTTGATTCCGCCTTCTGCGTAGGCGGAATTCGCGCCGGTGGCGAAATCCTTCCGCCGTAGGCGACCGCCGCCATTTCTTCCAGTAGCGATAACTCCCTAGGTCCTCGTCCGTTCCAAGCGTTCTTGGGCTCGTTAGAATCAGCGCGTCGAGCTCTTTCCAACGGGACCCTAACTTGGTCAAGGCGCCCGAGGGTTGACCTAATTACGGGGGTTTCCCTACAGCCGCGGACGCAACCTCCGAAGGCGGGTTTTGCGCCTTGCGCCGTAGAGATCCTAACTGCGGAGCTCGCAGGGAGGGTGGTGCCTGTGCTTGCTGCGGCACCCCAAATCCCAGATTCTACAAGATCCCTCGAGAATCCCCGCGATCCTCCGGATTCACTCTGTTTTGATGTACCGAAGGCTATTTACAATGCTGCCAGGGTACAGTTTTCCAAAAATGTTTTAATTTCCTCAAAATTGCCAAAAGTGGGGTACCACACTCTGCTAGCGGATCCGTCAAATTGAAAAGACGTTCATTTTGGCTCAAAACTTTATGCTTACAGCAAACGCAGAGTACTCACGTCTTGTAGTTATGCTCGTTATATTCTTTACATAAAGTGCAGATTGGTTCTCCATCGTGTATTCGTGTCATCTCACTCTGTAGTGTTCACGTTCGACAGTTCTAATAGTTATATATCAAGTGTAATTTAATGAGTAGCTCAAATTGTCGAGGTCCGTTTACGCCCAATATATTTTACATTGGCATGACCACACATTAGAGAAATATACTTGATGATACATTGTCTATGTCAATTGCATATACAATATGTATTTGACACACAGTGTGGGAAGTTGTTAAGTGAACTGCATCCTCAAGCAGCATAGTATTCATGATCTTCTCACACATGTCCGATCTTCCGTTATGTTTCAAGTTCTTGAACATGAAAGTTTCATCTAAATCATGAATTATGCAGATTCTGAACGCTTGATGTATCCTTAACTAACGCATGCCAATTTGATGCAAAACCATCACATGATCCTTTTCTTCTATAAGTCCGTTTCATCTAACATGTTCCTAAGACGACGGGAGAAAGGACAGAAGAAGGTGGAGATCAAAATTCTTCATCATATAAGTTGAAGTTCTTTTGCTGGGAGTATTTTCAGATGGCAGCTTAAACTTGAGATATCTAGTGTCTCGTGGCGTCCACCACAAGTCTGAAGAAAGATTGTCGGAACTTGGATCCCCAGGAAGTTTTTCGATGAATTTTGATATGAAAGTTGACGTGCCATTGCTATTGATGGTATGAAGAAGAAAAGAAATTGGTATAGCAGAGGACTTTCAATCTGGACACTAAGAGGCTAAACTATAACGAACGATGTGGCCGTTTACTTCATTGCACTAACGAATCACAAAAGGGCCCGGCAAGATTTGAATGAATAATGATTTGGAATTCGGTTTCATCTGATGGTTCGTTGAACGATCAATTCGAAGGAGAAGCTCACTTGAATTCAAAAAGCTTTGGTGAAACTCGATATCCTCTGCTCAATTGTATGTCGGAGCTCTGAAGGTCGCTACTGCCGATGGCGCGGGCAACCACCATCCCATCCCGCTGACTAAAGGCACAAACACAAAGATTTGCTGATACTAGAGTTGGTGGCAGTGGTGCTCTAGCCATTAAGCTTCCGACTCAGGCTCTAGGCGATGAGCCATTTGCTTTCAACTCCCTACTCTCATTCAACATCTGACACCCAGACCCCATCGACATCTGTACCGTGCTTTGATTCTAATCTGCATCAGGTGAACGTGCTACACTTATCACTTCACGTGCAGCAAGACAAAAGATTGATCGATCCACTGGTCAGCTCATTTCTCCTCGTTCATAGGGCGACGACCGGAAGTGATTGTGAAAAGGTGAGCAATTCATAGGAGTCCGATGGCATTTACGATTACGGTTTCTAGACACTGACTTGTTGTAGATGATTCATCTTGCCACTTCTAGTGATGCCGTGGAGGCCCGTGGAATTTTGTCTATAACATATGAAGCTTCTAGCTTCGTGGTGACTGACAAGAAGATATTTGCAACTCTGCACAGGAAGTTTTCTTAGATTAGATGGAAGGAGCAAATGCTTCAGGTTACGATCGCTCTTGACAGGAGCTTATTCTAACGGAGCTCTCATCTGCATCTCAGCTGCCTGGCAAGCAAACTTATCGATAACGGTGGAGATAATTTTTGAGATCGAGAGCGAAGATCTGGAAGACAATGGAGCAGACAGTTGTATCAGGCCTGATAACGACTGCGTTCATAATGCTGCTGGTGATCCTACTCGCCATGTGGAGGGTAACTCTATGCCTTCGAACCAAGATCTCAAATTGGGCTCAGAAAGCCACCGAGTCCATACCCACGTACACGAGCTCCGTGGACAATCCTGTATTCGGCAAGGACGATGTCCCTCCAGTGAGAAGATTTCCAACAGCATACTGGAGCCTCTCCCGGGCCACTTCGAAGACCAAACTCGTGTCAGCTGTCGTTCCTCTGTCCGAGGATCTGGCCCCGTCGCCTGAGCCCCATCACGCGGAAGAAGAGCACAATGTCTAGCCTCGGGGGAGCTGATTCGATCGGCGTGGACTGAAAATCCTTCACTGCTCGATCTCTCTCTTGCTTCGCACTCTCTCTGCTGATCCCCATTGACTGCGTTGACTCCGTGGACGACCGCTTGGGCGAGGGAGACCAGGGTTTTGGGTCTGTGCTGTCCATGACAAGCCTGCGTTTCCGTGTTAACAGTGTGATTTCTAATTAGTTGAATTTTCTTCGTTAGTTAAGCAATATTATTCTATCCAGCTTTACTTTCTAAAAGGTCTCCAATCTGTACATCTAATAAATTTAATACTTTTCAAATCGTACTTTCTTTCTCAAAGGGATTGATGAATATTTATAGCTAATGAAAGTAATTTGTATGAAATAATCTTGATTTGTTACCATGACAAGTATAGTATTCTATGTTTGATTACCGGAAAATTTCTGGATTTTGTTCAGTCACCTTCAAAGACTGTGGGATACTTACTGCGCTACGCACCCTTGTTGTCTTTGCTTTGAAGGCTTGTGGATGTTATCAAGAATCGAGGGCTCTAGTTTATGTGGATTCAAAATCCTATTCTTCAAGATTTGTCAATTTTGTGCACGATTGTGGTCGGCTTCACTTGTGGACCAATAATTGATCATTTGCCTAAACTGCCATTACCTTCGGTAGTCCATAATAAACGACTCTTGTACTGCCTATCTCTCTCCCCTGTGATAGCTGTGGCTAAATGCCTGATCCTTGGTTGCCTTAGTAGAAGAATCTCAGCACCCCTCGATCAGCCTCCAACTACGTCCCGGACAAATATAGATTGGTGGTCACAATCGGCTTCGTGAGACGAGGAGAAACGGGATCACCGCTTCACATTTTTTCTTCTGGGTACAGTTTAGAACATACGCCTTACTTGTCAACTCTAAGTGGTGATAAGTGCCTAACTCCTCCATGTGATTGAAGCATTGTATTTTAATCTATTTGTTTCGAAATTCAAAATTTTGTTCAATTCAAAACTGTTCGACTACTCGGCTAAAAAGAAAAATTGCATTCAAAAATGCTAAGGATGTAAATCAGAAGCTAAGGGAAAAAAATTCACATCTCATTTACCCATTGGAGGGAATAATGAATGCTTTTGAAAAAATCATCGCAAAGTTTGGCAGATTTTTTTTACATATGAGCAAATGATAGTCTTAGTTGACACACATACATTTGTAAGAATTTACATGAAGATATAGAGTGAGAATATATATATAATATTAATATATTGAGGCATTTGTAAGAATTTACATGAAGATATAGAATGAGAATATATATATAATACTAATATATTGAGGTATTACTGTATTCATATTATAGATGTATGAACTAAACATAGAGAAGCTGGAATCATGTGAAAATAAGTTGCTAATCGGAATCTCACAACTAGTTTTGGTTATATTATCTATCCATCAGGTTGCAGTAGGTAGCGTTCGGTTGTGCTCGTTCCAATGAGCCCAAGAATATTGGAAATGGGCAAGGGAATCCTGAGCTACGAAGTTACGCAGTGGAGTACATGCTTTGACTAAGACATAATACCGCCTTCGACGAAGTGTCTTCAGTCATACAGACAAAGAGTCTTTGGCAAAGTATCTACGGCAAAGTAAAAGACGGCGTTGAATGGGAAAGAAATTCAAACACTTGTATTGTCAATTCGCACAAGTTTACGATGCCGTTAGGAGAAACGCGAGTTTTGTGCCGACATTTCGCGAGAGTGCATTTGCAAATTGAGAGCTCAACAAGGTCCGTGAGTGAAAAATTGAAGAAGCAACGATGGGGCAATCTTTAGGAGTTTGATTATCAATGTTGAAGGTGCCAGGATTGGGATTAAGAGCGTATTGCAACAAGCTGGTAGTTGATAAGCTCAATTTCTTGTTGTGGGGATGAAATTGGGTTTGTGCGACAATGGTGCAAAAATGTCACAATACGAAGGCCAATTCCCACAAAGATGAGATCGGCAAATGTGCGTGCTCGTAGTAAGATGAAGACACAACGGCCAAAGGTTAAGGAAGAAGACAACACTGAGTCTAGCGAGACCGCATTCCAATGTTGAGAATCTTTGCAAGAATGGGCCGAAATGGAACCGGACTAAGTAGAAACCAACGACGAAGGGCCTTCAGCCTTCGGAGTGGAGACCTTTGGAGGTGCCAGCGAAAGATCCACAAGAGGAAGGAGAAGAGCAAGGAGGTGATACAAAGGTGAAGACCTCGAGTCAGGGAAGTCGACCTCCTGGGCAACCACCAGTGTACATGCCTTTGGGTAAGGAGTATTTGGAGGTACCCGTGGAGTTAGCAGACACGGCCGAGGACCCCAATTGGCTGGAAGAACTAGTAAATCGTGTAGTGAAAGATGTGGAGAGAACTATGACAGAGCAATAGCCGATGCCTTTGGGTGAGGCGTCTTCGGGTACAGTCTATTTGGACTGTGGCGAAGGACCTTCGGCCGAAGAACCCAAGTCTGTCAGACTCAGTGCAGCGGACATGTTGGGCAAGCGAGTAAATTCCTTGCTCTGTTATTTGGATGGAAAGATGGCAAAGTACGCCGAGTGAGCAATAGCGAGATCCTACGTAGAATTAATATGTAGTAGGATGCGTGCGAAGATGGCAGCATCTACAGAGGTAGTCGAAAGAGTGGCGAGTTTGACCTTAGAGTGCACAACCGTGAAGGCTACCTTGCAGGAGCGGGAGGAGCGACTTCGGCAATCGGAGTTAGAGTGTGCCAAACTTTAGAAGAGTTTAGCATTGGAGAAGGACCTTTGTACAAAAGCAGAGCTGAAGTACGTGGATCTTCGGGTCGACCTTACCAACGTTCAGAAGGTAACGGTGGAACTTCGAGACAAGGTGGAAGTGTTCCGGAAGTAGATCGCGAGAAAATTGAAGCACGCGGAGGAACTGACAGCAACTTTGGCAACGCATGATCAATTGCATGTAGCAGAATTCGCGGCAAAGGCGAAGGAGTTAGAGGATTGCGAAGCTGCTAGATCTTCGGAGTTGGAGGAAAGGGAGAGCCTGAATGTTGATTGTAACGAGATGTGATCTCAACTGTCAGCAATTGAGAAGCAGTTGATCTCGGCCAAAGCAGATGGACGTAAAGAATCAGCAATTAGCAGGGCATACGGATGGGGCGTTGTGCGCGAAGGTAAACCGATGCCTTCGCGGTTATGTGAAGTGGGAGATCCAGACTCTTAAGTGGACGAAGTTAAGCGAGCTGGAGTGTTGAGTGACAAATTTGATAGTTAGCGGTGTAGAGGGCAGCGACAGTTAGATAGGAAGCTCCATTCGTTCATCTCCAATTTGGAGGAGATGAAGGAGAATTTAGAATTAGAACTGTCAGCCGCTCTACATAGGATAGGGGTAGATAGGAATTTAGCGGGCGCAATAACTTCTGAGTCGGCTGGCGTCGTGCCTGTTGAGGACTCACATCACAGCGAGTGACATCTCGGGGTGTTAGTTAGGAATAAAGAGGCCCAAGGCTCTGCCTTTTGGGGCTTTTCCATTAGTTAATTTCTCAATTTTCATTTAATATTCTTTCGCGCTTTAATGAATTGTGCGTTTTGTCACCGTGTGTGAATTGCTTTAGTTTGTCGAAGATACCGCATCTGAAGTAAAGAGTCAAATTCGGTTGTTCTGAGTGGTGCATAGTGTAGCTCAGGATTTAAGTTATTTTGTACATTGGAAGCTTGGTACAGCCGGTTGAGTGTATAATCTTGGAAATTTCTCCCCTGAATATCAATTGCAGTATCGCGTGCGACTTCTGTACTGTCTTATTGGATGAATTTCAGGTTTGAGTGTCTATCTACCTTGCAATGGCATGACTTTGGACTTAGCACTTGCAATGTCTTTTGAGAGTGACAAGTGCCTAAGAAGTAAAATTTCGCAATAGGCTATTAAACCGTTACAATACTTGGTTCTCTGGGTTATTTCTGTCCTTGTGGTATTGGATCTTTACTATTATGCTCCATTTCGATAATTATCTATCATTACAAATACACTTTTTAAACTATAAAAATTAGACAATAAAACATCAAAACGAAAGACTAATTAAACCTGAGCAGAGAGTCGGAAGCGAAAATAGAACTCATTCTTTATGCATACAATTGAAACCACATTTTAGTATAAGTGGCCCCGAGCACCAATGTTATGGTAGGTGTAATTCAACACCAATAAAGAGATGCTTAAAGCATATATGTTAAAAACATTATCGTATGTAGCCAGGAAGTATATGGCCTCAGGCCTGAAACAATCAAGGAGTACAGGTGTCACAGGCAGTCCAAGCACATAATAGGAACTCTACCTGAATTTTCGTTCACTGAACCCTAGGTTACCCTCACAATCGAAGAGAAGTCTGGACCTGAAACGTGGAACAATTTACTTTTATTCTTTGAAGGAATTCAAGTTTTCTAATGTAGAGGTAAGCACCGTGACGAATTCATAAGTAATTGAAAGGAAAGAAGATACAGAAACTTTCTCACCACACGATCGGATTCAGTACTTTTGGAAAAACCATCAAATCTAAGTTCTGCTACTCTATCACACTACAAAAGTACGGTTACTCTGACACCATACGGTCTTCGTGCATGCTTGTATGCTACAGCTATGATGATCTGCTCGTGTAGAGAGGAAATGGTTTACTACTCGACGCGTGGTGGAGACAAAACTGGACTTGATTTAGGACAAATCTGAAAATTGTGAAGTTTGGAGTCCATCATTGAGTGTGCGCACACCAAGTGTATTCACTCTCGTCCAGTTAGTGCAAGTCACATCTTTCAGTTCTATTTTCTGTCTCACGAGTATACCTATAATTCTTCAATTTACTTATTCTAAAAACTAACTTTGAGATAACTTTGAAGGGTGAGCCGCAGTGACTTCCCAGTTCTCCCTACCGATTGAGTTCCAAATTATATCTCCCTGAGTTTTTGTCTCTTGAAATATTCAAAGAGAGTTTAAGTTCAGCTCGGTTTGCAAAACTCGATGCAGAACACAATCTGCTCATCATAGACAGCATCTACATTTTGAAGGCAGTGGATGGAATGGTGCTACCAAATGATAATATGAGTAAAAATGACGCGTTGCTTGATATCATTGGCGGAAGAAGCTACTGAAGTGCTCGTAGAGTTAAAAATACCAACCAAATAAGAATCAAGAATGTTACAGATCCGAAGGTACAGAATAATGCAGTTACAAGTCTAGACAAATCTTTCTTACCATTCTACTAAAAGAGCCTCGTCAGGTGGCGAATTCCAGCAACGTTACACAATGTTGCAAGTCGGATCAGACTCGAACTTGGAGAAAC